TTCCTTTGAACTTAGTAACATGAGGGTCAATCCTCTAAGTGCATGAAGAAGCATATAGGTATAATTATTTTTGTTGTTCATATTGCATTAGGAAGGACACAGTGACCTACCTTAATTGCACAGTAAGTCAATGAACTTTTTAGCTTACAGTTTTAATGTATGTTTATAGCAACCACAGTTGAAGTACAATGACAAGCAAATGTCTTTAAACTAAGAACTTAAGCCTAGCTATTTAAAATGCAATGCTATTCAAATGTCTTTTGCGAATGGAGGTGTGTGGAGTGGAGAGGGGGGAAGTAAAGAAAACTACCATAAAAACACTAAAAGACAGTGTTTCACTCCAACCTTGTAAAAAAAGCCGTGGATTTGCAGCAAATGAACAAATCCTACTGCACATTCCTTTCTCCTCTCTACCTCTCCCTCTCTAGACTTCTTGTTTTCCACAGTTTGAGCTGGAAATTCAAACTCAAGAGCCTCCAATTTCATTTCATAGAAATTAAATTAACCTCTACAAAGCAATGCCAAGGGACTTCCATGCTTGCTACAACTTGTCTACTTCCTAGAAAATATACATTAAAAAAAAATCAGTCCCACCTTTCTGTCCAACAACAAAATGCTAAAATTTTCCATGGGTACCACTAGCAGCACTTAGTTTCAGACTTTTGAACTCCGTCTTACGCAGTTTACAAGGTACTTTAAATGTTTCCTTATAGATAGCCTCAATTTACAATATCACAGTATGAAAGGCAAATGATCTTGGGTCAAATTCCAGCTCTGTGCTAACCTGCTTTATGAAACCACAGGTCCATGGCTCTTTCATTTTTGTTCATTATCCCTAGCACTGAACTACGTTAGCTCAGGAACCTATATAAAATGTTAGGACTGATTACCCTTTTTTTCCTCAAAGGAATTCATATTGCTGTACTATCTTAATAGCAATATAGTACTTATCTTCAACACTGAAGGTGCTAATGTATTTTCTCAGTATGAAATACTAGCATGCATAAGGAGACAGCAGAAGTAACAGACAGAGGTAGAAGGGAAACCTTATTAGATAGGTAAAACTCCTATTAAATAGGAGAAACTATGTCAGTTGGAACACCTGCCTTGAAACATTAGAAGAAAGCACTACGTACTAAGTTACCTTCAAAGAAATTGTCTCCTGCAATGGATGATGATTAATGATGTTCTGAGCACCATCACTGAAGAACCTTTTTTTTTCTTCTTTTTTTTTTTTTTTAATGGATAAAGCTAGAATGGAACACAAAGTATGAAAACCGAGTTAGAGGTATAATGTTGGAATGCAAGAATTTGTACACATTGGCTGGCTTTGGTTCCTAAAAGCAAAAAAAAATGAATTAGTGCTCTATTGAAGACTTGGAGTCTAGTTAGAATCACAGTTTCAATATATGATTTCCTTTAAAATTATACAATTAAAGCTATACAGCCATGGGATACATAGAAATGTCAAGAATCAAGGATTTTGTAAGTTTTATTTCTGATTTTGACACTGATACTTAAATTGCCATTTAAGAAATCATTAAATATATTAGTGATTATTGATATGATACTCTCAAAAGCAATTGCAAATGCTCAGAGTATTTGCATATTTATTTTACAATGTTTATCATGCTGTCAGATACCACTTCAGAAGGTCTGATCTCTAATTTAAATCTGTAATTTATGAAAACTAATGCTCATATTATAACTCTATTGGAAAGAATCCTAAATTTTCCACTGGCGCTTGAAGAGTAAAATTGCCCTCTTGGGAGCACACTCACACTTCCAGTGCACCTTGATGGCCCATCTTCATTATGTGCTATAGTAAAACACTGTATACTTGTAAGAAAATAAACAGCAGTGTTGCTAAATCACATGGTTTTCAACAGCTAGAAGGACAGTAATTTAGATTATTTTCTGATTTTAATGATACTAGTTTTCCATAGCCAGGGTCAAAAAAACTGTGTGAGAGTCATCTGTCCTAATTCTTGATTAACCTACATTTAATTACAAATCTGACTACTTTCATACTCTTTGTTCTTGACATGTTTATGAACACTCCATTCCACTAAATGCAGTTTTAAACAAAGGAACTGCAAAAATTTCAGCTCTGAATTGCTTTCCTGTACAGTCTCTCAGCATATTTTTATCTTAAACCAAGTCAGACAATTTTTTTAATTAGGTAATTTTAAAATTAACTTTCCCAGAATTTCTATTTGCAACAGACAAGCTATGAATTATTGTTGGTTAAGAGCATGATTTTAAATTATTTTAGAAGTTCAATTAGAGAACTACACAATCTGAAGAGACCTTTAGTTTCTTTCAATTTATGGAAAGGAAATGTCAGACATTTTTAATCATATCCCAAAACCAGAAAACTGTGCAGAAAACACATAATTCTTTGTCCATCTCACTTTCTATTGTGTATTTCATGGTATAAGGAAGTAACAGATGATGATCTTTCTTTTAGAGTGCAGACTAATCATTCTGACGTCAATAATTAGGAATCCAAAGTCAAATATGAGAGGAGGCCTGAGGCTGCAATTTGTGCACTTGCGAAGATGGATTTCATAACAAAATCAAAATCAAATGTGCTATTATTCTTTGGAAAACAGTAATCCAAATACTGTTTTTCTTTGGGAAACCTCTTTCCCATTTGAGTGTTTGACACACAGATATGAGGAGCCAGCTTCCCTTCACAAACGCAGCTGAATCAACAGGTTCAAATGGAAAGTGGCACTAAGACTGCTAAGCACACATTGTTGACTTCCATGCTATAGTAAGTTCTGCCACCGCTGTCTTCCTTGGGGAACTATTGAGAGGATTTTCTCTCCTGGAGAGAGGTGGATTCTGGCAAGAGAATGGGAAATCTATCACGTAATACTTTTCATCTGAAGTATCACCTGCTGAGTGTGCAAACAGATAGGTTCTTCTCACCCTGGATATGGGGTTCAGAGTTTATCTATCTGCAGAATATTTTTACTTTATCAGCCTAATATCTTTACTTTATCAGCCTAAACATCATAAATAGCCATTTCACCCAAAATCAGCCACACTCAATGAGGTATTTGCAAGGATTACAGGTAAGGATTACAAGGATATAGCGGGTGTAAGGGGCAATATACAAATGGAAGTCTGCCTTTATTCTGAAGACTACCTCTCACAATACCTTTATGTAAAGGAGAACATGTTCCCAGCCACTTGAATAAATACTAAGTTAATGGATTCTAGAGAGAAAAAAAGAACAATACAGTAATTTTCATAGGAGAGTCAAGCAACCCACTTTTTTCTTGTTTTATAATTGTAATTTGTACAAGGACTAATCTAGCTCTATTATCTCTTAGAAGGCTGGAGGAATAGAAAAATCCTTAAGGAGTCCCAAGCTGCTTCCTTCTTCAATTGATTTATGTTCTCTAATCATCCTTAGTGGAATTCTCTTTTTCTGCTCAACAGGCTGAGCCACTGCTCCAGGGCATGACAGGACCTGCACCTGCTCTCCATAGACAACATTAACCCCTTTCTTTCTAAAATATCTTTTGTACAACCCCTTTCTTTCCAAATATCTTCTGTACAGCCTATCATAAGTATATATTAAAAAATACCACCCAGTCTTAAGTCCAAATCTAATTTCAATTGAGGTGCCAGTTAGTTTATGATCAGAATAAGTATACCTTACGGCAACACTACTGGGCATTAACAATCTTTGGTTTAATAAATCAAATTTATATGTGGCAATCAACATTAAACAGCACTAGATTACCTTTACAAGGGGATCTGCTACTTTCCAGAACATGTGAGAGAAATCAGATTTACTTTGGTCTGTTTCAAGACTGAATGACACTGAAGAGAATTTTGAAAAACAGAAAGTTTCTGTTAAAGTATCTGTTATAGCATCCTTTTGATAATAATCAAAATATTTTTAAAAAACATGTTAGCTGAAACAAAACTTCCCAGGAGAGAAACAAAAAAAGCTTCTCTATGCAGTAACACTGCAATGTTTCACTAAAGTTACTGTCTTCCACCAGGAGCCTTGTCTGCTGCCTTTCTCTTACTGTTTGTTTAAATCTCAGGTAAAGTGACTCACTCTCTGGGAGAAACTCTCTCTCATGATTCATCCAGGAGGCTGATAACCCCAGGCTTGTTATACATTTGGACATCTCAGTTTAAATGTCTGAAGTTCAGTGAGAGGAATCCCAGCAGAATTTCTAACTGCATTAGGGGTCAAAACCAGATTTTAAGGAATCAGGATTATACAGGTTTCAGAAATTTTCCTCAAAGTACTTTCTTAAAAAAAATTGTAAAAATCATATACTGCAACTAATATTAAGCTAACAACCTTTCACATCTCTTAGAATGCTTTTTTTACCTTATCTATATTTGCCTGTTTGGGCTAACTTTCATTTGAGAGGACTAGTAAAGCTCCCATAACTTTAGCCAGAAAATAATACAAATCTTTAATATCCTGAGATCAGAAATATATTTTTAATCCTAAAAACTGTAAATTTCTAGTGACTTGAGCCAAATGCAGATACAGTCTGTACAATTTTTATTGTGTATAACAGTGTGTCTCAACAAAAATGATGGGATTAAGATCAGTTCATCTGCCACTTACATTTTTAGATAAGGCGTCTGTTTGGTCTATAATTTACTTATTTAATTTCTTTCATGGCTCTTATTTCACTCTGCAATATTTCAGTTTGATTATTGATATCTTCCTAAGAAAAATAAGTAAACTGTTATTACTTCTATTTATTGCAGTCCCGCTTCTGAAGTTATGGAGTTGCAATACTGTGGAGTGTCTTTTGTGTTTATAATCTTCAAACTATAAATAGGATCACTGGTAAAGCAATACAGGTTCTAAGCACCACAATAAAAGCAAGTTTCAGTTTGTAGGAGCACAACAGAAAGATATTTTGTATACCATAAATAATTCAGTAAGATATTTTAATAGTTTCAAATAATCTTTGAATATCTTTGATAATTCCTTCCCCTTATACCAGACATCTGTGATTAGAGGAACCTACCTTGGCCTAGAATACATGAGAAAAGGAAATGGAGGCAATGGAGGAGTAATCATTAATATCTCATCCTTGGCAGGTGAGAATATTTTCTGCAAAATGCTTTCTACTACTTTTTTTTCTAAAGTAAACAAATTATACTTATCAGTCATATTTTTTCTTCTTTCTTATGGCTCTTCCCTGTTTATTTTTCCATGTTCATATTTATTTTGACCTGGTTTTCATCATAGCAACAGAAGCATATCAAATAACTACAACTTTCATTTGCTTTTTTAAGCACGGTTCAATAAAAAAATCAGTAATTTTCCTAACCTATCAGTCTCATATTTAAAATCTTGTGCATGATGTCAATTCCTCCATTCAATTCCATAGGAACATAGTTGTAGGAATATCTAAGACCAGGCTGTATCTAATTTACTAACAAAGATTGTCATACACCCACTCTGTTCCAAGTCCTCTTAGATGTGATCTACTTGTGTTTGAGAAGCCATAAAATTAACATATTTCACCGAGCTTAAGCAAGTGTTTTCTTTGCTCACTCTTTGTCTATGCTATAATTGTATTTCAATTTATCGGCATAAAAATAACATTATATGGGTCAGGGTTATTGCTGCTCAGTTGTGAGGCAGAATTCTGCACCATTTCCTGTGGTACACTCAATGTTGCAATCACTGGGCTCACAGCAAAAAGCGCAGCTGAAGGGGAAACTATATATGGACAATGATGTCATCTGACAACCTTCCTCAAAAAATGTGTGGGGAAGTACTTGCATTCTCTCTTTTTTGTTTGAAGAGTTTGTTCTCTCTTTCTACTGTTATACTGTCTGGTAAAAATAATATATATGCTATCTTACACTTGGATTGTCAGAGCTTTCTTTGGTATCCATGCAGATTACCAAATTAGAGCAATTTTATTCCAGGATATTCCTATCTGTCTTAACAATGAAAAGCCATTTAAGAGCACTGGCCATAGTTACTGACTGTGGATAGGTGTGGATGTTCTGAGTATTAAGTTCTCCTGTAAACCTTAGCTTTTGTGATAAAAAGTCTAGTTCACCTATTAAGATAATGCATATGAATCTTGAGGATCTGACTTAATACATGCACATATCTCACATGGGTGAGAGGTTCTTTATTAAAAGCCTCCGTGTACTTTTAAGTCAACATTTGTAATACTGCCTAACACATTGCCCACTGACGCCTCTAAGTTTATCCCTATTGGCTCGAATGGACATTGTATTGGGATCAAATTAACCTGAAGGAACTGCTGTTACAGTACCAGAGTTCATCAGCACAAGTAAAAGATTAAACAATTTCACAGGAACATTGGTGCCCAGGCAGTGCTTAAAAAAGGGCAGAGGTAGCAAGTAGTTTGATTCCTTTTCTAAATAGTCTCACATAAACACAAAATGACTTTGTTTTCAAAACCTAAAAGCTTGGCTGTTCTGTTTGTTAAGAGCTTGTAAGAGCTGTTTTAATTATTTGATTAAAATTTGCATTTATTTAATTAATTTTTTAATATTAACATTGTGCCATTATGATTGTGGGTATCTGACAAAACAAAGTGTTCTTTGTTTTGTTTTCTTTTACATGGCTTGTATTTAGGAATTGTTTCCAAGGGCATAAGAAAAAACACACTTTAAAAGCTAACATATACTAATTTCTATTGCTTATTTATTTACTACTACTTGTGCTTTATGACTCTAATTCTCCTTTCCAGTTTGAAGGTCTAAGTCCTGTAGTTTATTCCATATATGAAAGGCAAACTGCCATTGGCTTGCTTAATATCTTTTTGAGTGTTTTCTTAGAACTAGCTTCTGTTGATCATTAAATTTAAGAATTGTATTTAGTGCTTACATAACATTCAATAATATTTGCTTTACACATTAATTAGTTTCCAGTTCTCTGCTATGGGAATTTTCCCAATGATTTGGACTAGGGACAGAATTAAGCCTTACAGTTTTACATTTTCAAACACCCATGGAACTACTTAAATGCTTCCTATGAAGTCGATGCTTAAAGTGTTCATTCAGCTGGATTAAAGCCAGAGTGTCCACCCTGTCTTTCCAGTATTGGGTCTTCCTTTCTTTAGTGTCTTCACAGGACAGGACTAGGTAAGAGAGGGAGACAAATAGGTAAGCACATGCAGCAAGCACTCAGCTGTGCCTCAAATCTATAAATCTGATTGCTATTGGATTTGTGTTTTCATATCAAGAAGAAGTAATGCCACTAAACTGAAATAATGAGAAATGTATTTTATTTCTAACGTGGCCCCATAAAAAATAATTCTAATGACTGCAGGTTTTTGTATTGAAAAAAATTTGATTTCAAATTCAAGGAGAAAAATGTTCTAAAATTTCTTCTGTAAGAAGCTACACATTTCCTTTATTTTGTTTAATTGAATAGTTACAAGCAACAGAGAAACCATACAAAATTAAATTAAACTCAAGAGATTATTTACCTGATTAAATTTAACATTGCCTTCTACCTTGTGGCAGCTGGTACCTTACACTTTTTGCAAGTAAAGGGAGAAAGACAGTCATGCATACACTTTTGTCTTGGTAGCTTTCATATTTTCAAGAAGGTATTTTATAAAACTGAATTTGTATCTGTCCGGATTCTAGCAGACAAAAAGTCTTCAGAGTTTTCATAGAGGGCTTAAAAATGGTAAAATTTTTAGCACATCACCAAGGTTGAGAGGTTGTTCAATATGCAATGAATCTGGTCACCTTTCTGTTGTACAGTCATATAAGTGCTTCGATTGCACTCAACTTTGAGCACTCAGATTCCACAAGCAGCTTGTTTGTCCTCCTTTTATATGGAAAGCTTCAGCCCAAAGAAATACTTAAAGTACCCATCATAGCAAACAGGCTTTTATAAGACCTGATTCTATATATATCACAAGAACAAAACTAAGAATATGGGTAACATCACTGGGTAAGGACTGTATCACAGTGATACAGGGGAGCAGAGTGCCAATGGCTGTACAACTGGGGCCTTAATTTCACGATCATGAAAGAGCTTCTGGTCCCTCTGCTTTATTAAAAGAAGGATACTGAGCAGAATCCAAAGGAATGAGGTTAAAAAATTTAGAAACTATTCCCTTGGGACTTCAGTTCACTATTGAAGGAATCATAGAAATGGCACAGCTTAGAATTTCTGCTAGGATTTCTGAGTGTCTTTTGTTTTGGCACTCAGGAGGACTGCTGGGATGTCATGAGGGTACACAGGGTAAAAATCAGAAGGGCCAAAGTCCAACTAAAAACTAAAAAGGTTAATAAATCTTATTCAAAGAGACTTGTTCAAACCTCTGAAGGCAATATGTGTTCAGTGGGAAAGCATAACTGGGGAAAAATGCTTAATTCTGTTTTCATCAAAGTTCTTCAGTGGACTGAAGGGAAATTCCGGTTTCAACAAAGCTTACGGATAACAATACAAGTTTATTGATACAATTTTCCACCTCCAGTACTAACTTCTCAAGATGTGGATATTGAAACTACTGACCATGATAAATAAGGCGTTGGAGTGAGAAGCCTGACACCATGTCTCCAATGGTAGAATGATCTTGCCACTCTAACAACAAGGGGACTAGAGTATAAGCAAGGCCAAGAGCTGTCTCTGTCAACCTGCCAGGAACTGAGAAAAATAAAAAAAAGAGCGGTTAACACTGGTTTTGGTAAACCAAAGAGCATCTTGAGTCAACATGAAATCATTTGCAATTCACTGTGCAGCAACATCCAGAGAAAGAAAAATGTAGCCACAGCTGCCCCCCCTTGTTAAGAGAGATTAGAACACACATATATCACTTTCCAGAAGTACGCTGACCCATCCATTTGAACACCCTCCCCTTCTTCCCCCCATTATTTTGTGCATAATGTTCTCCAGTCTGTTTCACAGCCGTTCTGCATTGCATAAGATAATTAAATATTCATGGAAGGAGCAAATAGAATCCAGATTTTCTAACAAAGGGATGCCCTAAGTAATATGTTATGAACTCATCTTTGCTCACTGCTTGAATTGAGCAGGCTCAATATCACACAGTGGTTCATCACAAAATACTTGCTAGGAAAGACCTTAGGACACATTACTAACAGGTTCAGCCCTTCCCAGTGCAGGGAAGTGGCTCAGAACTGGAAAGCCCACACTGTGGTTCTCAGCACCAAGCTCAGGAAGAAAAGTAAGACAGGGCTGTCATTGTTTTGTGTGAGGGATGCTAGGATTAGTCTTAGCTGCTTGGGCTGAAAATGAGTCAATTGATTATTTCTTGGTTCTCCATTTTAGCAAAAATAATAATTTCAACTAGAAAAGAACTGGCTTTTTAAAAAAAACTATTTGTTCCTCCCTTTCTGCTTAGTAATTCTTGCTGTCTTTGCCATTTAAGTAAGTCTTTGAACCTTATTCCACTTAATTGTTGTGAGCTGTGCCCTTCCTTTTTTTTATTTCTTGACTTTGTTTCTCTTCCCTCTCAAGTAAAAAGTAATTTGTCTCACTGCGCTTAAAAAAATAAAAATAAAATTACCTCTAAATTCCTCCTCTGTGTCTCTGACTAGTGTCAGTTTTATTTCTGTTTGCTGCAGCCTAATTGGAATTTTTTTTATCTAAAGCATGTAAAAGTATTTAAGAGTTTTTTTAAAAATAGTGTCATAATATTTCGATGTGCTACTATTCCAATGTTTCCAATAATTTGAAGAATGGTGATGATCATCAAAATTCAATGAAAAGAGGAATATTAAGCCTGTGTTGTGATCGCAACCCACAGGAGACAACACAAAAACCATTTTCATAAAGTGAGTTCTCAAGCAGAAGTTTAAAACATTAATCCAAACTAAGCAAATAAATACAAGTTAAAGAGAACAACCAGCCACTAGGTTTAGTTCTTCACTTTCCACTATTGAATAGTGCTAATAATAGTCTTGGTTTCACTGGATCGCCAAGGTAGCATATAAACCAAGATAAAACCTTGAAACTTTTAGGTTCGTAATCAGAACTTCGTGCTGTCTTAGAAAGTTTTTTCCTTTAGACAAAACAGATTCCAGAACAAAGAGCCCATGCAAGTCTCTGGCAAACATATTTTTTCTGGCAAATCCATATTTAAAGCTGAGTAGTGAATTCCTCATCTCTACTGAGATAAGTCCCACCCCTTTTTGAATGTGTCACTTAAAGATATGAAATATGAAAAATGAAAGTAACCATACTAGATGTGAGTTATTAATTGAGATGACTTCCAATAGAATCAAACGTTAAGGCATCAAAATCACTATCCAGTTTTACAATACCACACTAACAAACACAGACTAATTTTATCCTTTAACTTTAGGACAGGCTGAGGTTTGCTATTCATAAGGACATAGCTCATAGGTGAAACTACAGCATCCATATGGTCCAGTTCAGTTTTCATTGTATAGTGGAAATTGTTGGCATAATGGGCAGGAATGAATATGCACTCATGGTCTGTCATTTCTTCTTGATTAGCTTCTTTGGCCATCAAACTCAGTCTTACTAGAACTAAGTTCCTAATTTTCCTTCAGAACCTCTGTTCTCTCTTTTTTTTCTACTATAAATAAAAATTTCTGCTCTCCCCCTCTCACTATCAAGGTTCACAATGTTAGCAGTCATTTTTTTTTTGCTTCTCCTTTTTCCACACTTCCTCTCTGAAGTCACTGTAAATTAATGCAGGTGTCCAGTTCATGTCAGCTAGGGTGTTAGAAATCAAAGGTTATCTAAAATACTTCACATCCTTTATATACTTAAATACTTTACTAATTCATAGAATATGACTTAAAAATCTCATTCTTGAGTGTTTTCCTCCAGATCCTGTCCTCTCTTCATATACTTCATAGATAAAACTTCTCCTCTTAAAAGTTACACTTTCTTTTATTACTCTTCTTTTGACTCTTTGTGTTTTTATCCGTCTAATATCTTCTCCCAACCTGTCTCAGAATACAAAATATAATCTGCACATTTTTACTACTCTATTTTGTTGTATCTTTATAAATATATCATAATTTTTTTACATTATATACCTATATCTGTGTTTAAGGTAATCATAAATAGGAGTTCTCAACATCTTTATTCAGCTACCTTTTTATTTTAAAGGACTCATGCCTGCTGCATTTCAACCAGTGTACTGTGCTACAAAGCATGGTGTAATTGGATTCACACGATCAATAGCAGTAAGTATGTGTTTTGGAAAAGAGTATCAGCAGCTCCTTCGGAACATGCTGAAGTTTTTCACGTTCCTTCTCTATAGCCACACAACTGGAATTAATTTTCTGAAAGGAAACAAAGTGTCTGCAGCAGTGGAGGTTCCCTCCTTTCACAAAGGGAATCTGAAGATGGAATAAGTATGGCATCTGTGTGTTTATGACCGATTTGAGGTTTTGGGAGCATGGAAGAAAGATGTTGGAAAGTAATTTAAGGAGAGTGGGAGGAGCCCAAAGGCCAAATTCTAATCCAAGCTTTAAAAATTTTTTCAGAACCCCATCCCAGTCACTTAACATTTTGATTTCCTTATTTGCCAATCAGGTTGGTTACTTTTTTAAATGATAAATAGGCACAAAAGTGTACAAAAGTGACTTGGATTCACCATTATTTATTCTTACTGAGTCTTAATACTCCAAAAAGGCAAAATGGCACATTCAGGATGCGACATGTAAGATGACCATATAGTAAGTCTCAGGCTCTGACTCCAAAACTTCCTAGTTAAATTGAATGAGCAGTGTAATAAAATAACTTGGAGGGAGCAGATACATATATTCTCTTTCAATAGAATCTACTCATATAAGATTTCCAACCTGATTTCCAGAATTATTCACCTAAAATAATACTTTGAATATTTTATCCATATTTTATGCCCCCATGCCCACACAAATTTAACTTCTTTTTCAGATTAACCTTAAGAGAATAGTATGGATAAGTGTTTCATATACCACATTAAACACATCAAGAACCTGACACCTAGGCTTGCATTTTGTTTTTCTCATTATAAATGTAGATCTAAGTGCAAAAGTAAATTAGAGGATACACTGTCTTTAAGTAACATAAGAATGTCAAGAAGAAAAAGAATAATTAACATAGTGAACTACAGTATTTACCAGGGAAGGCAGTACAGCCTAATGTTGGGCTGGTCTGATACCTAACATCTAGGACTTGACTTTCTTTTCTCCCCCAGACCAAAAGGGCAGACTACTATACCATGAAAATGACATGAGACTTGCATAATACCTGAAAGAATTCCTGTTAAATATTAAAATAAATAGAACGTAGCATTAACATATATGGTTATTCTTGAATATGTCACGTATAGTTCCTAAGTTCTGTGCTAAGAAAGTTCATCCAGCATTCAACACATGCCTGAATGCTGATCAGACTTCTCTGCTACATACACACTTTGGTAGAACCACAAATGAGGGCACAGAACAACTTGTGCGTCTTGCTTTCATCATGTTCCTGAACTACTTCCTGAAAAAACTAGTGCCTCTTTCCTGGAGTTCACAGGGACTTTCCTGTGGAGATGCTCAGTGATAGCTTCATGCATTGGCAGGGATAACAGAGCAACTAGAAAGGTTTAGCATTACAGGTCTAGGCATAGAGACTAGATCCTATTTCTGTTGATGTAGGAAGGTAAATACAGTCTTAGAGATACTGTTTCTTTATTTCAGAGTTCTATTTTAATAAAAAAGTTCATATAAGATTAGAAGCATATATTTGGGAGATTTTTTTCTTGGTTTTGCTTAGAAGAGTTATATCATCACCCTAGAATACTTTTAGTGACATGCTAAGAGCACTAATAATAAAAAATATCAGAAAAAACCAGCTTCATGGAAATGAGAGTGTTGATTTCTTGTAAAATTGTTCTCCTAACAAAACAAACAGGTTTTTTCCTAGTAATCTAGTATGATTACTACAGGAAATGTGCTTCAAACTTGCTTTGAAACAAAACAATCAGTAGTAACAAAATCTGCTTACTAAGCGAGGCTGAAAAGTACTTAGTGTTAAATCCCATTATCTGAAAGCTTACACAATACTGTCTCAAAATGTTGACGACAAATGTCTAACCCTTTCTCTTTTCTAGTTAGCTGCTAATATGGACAACCACGGTGTAAGACTCAACACAATTTGTCCAGGATTTGTCAACACACCAATTCTTCAGTCAATAGATAAAGAAGAGAATATGGGACAATATTATTCATATAAGGATGAGATAAAAAATATGATGCAGTTCTATGGCGTAATGGAGTAAGTCAAGTCAGATAGAGTGGGCTTTTTCCTTTTGTTCATGGGGAACAAACACACAATAGCACTTTTAGTAAAATTAAAATAAAAGGGAAATGCTGCCTCAGATAAAAGACTATCAAATGTGTTATCCTATAAACAAGGGAAAAAAGGAAGATATCTAAGGCTATTTTAACAGCACCACCCTCACAGTAATATATCCCCATATGCATTCCCAATTCTCAGCAAAATGCAAATCAAACTCCTAAGTTAAATACATTGTGTTTAGTTATTAATATACCTAGGTGTTCCCTCATAAATTTCTTTAATCAAAGTTCTTGTGAGACACAAGGTATATAATTTGCATTGAATTTTCACAAAATTTGCCAGTGAAACAAGATAGAAGAACAAGAACTGAAAAAACTGGACTAAGTTCATAAAAGCACAGTAGCAGCCATTGTGCATCAGATCAAAGAGTTACCTGACACATTACAGTATTGCCAACAAAGGTCAAAAGCAGACATCTTGGACAGCCTGTGAGAACAAGACAAGTATAAAGTGGGGTTTTTTAACACTTTCTTAGTTTCTAACAATTGGCTGCTCAGACACTTCTGCACAAAGGAAATGCTATGACTGTGTTGTTTCACCCATTTCCATATGTAAAATACATTGCACCAATTGACCACAGCAAACTGCATGTGAAATTATCCTTATGTTAATTTGTATGTCAGTCCTGCTACAGAAACAGAATAAATCAATAGCAGAGCTGCAGATGATTGTGTAAGGATTACTTCTGTCCATTTTCCTGGCAGAGAAAACTTTGATAGGAAGTCCAGTAGCATTTGGATGTCCACAGGTGTTTATCAGAAACTAGAGCAAAAAAATGATGATTTGTAAAACAGCCACTTTACATGTATGTCCTGATTGAGGAGACTAAATATCTCTCCTGAAACATGCATACCACCTCTGCTTTTCTTCAAAGTAAATTTGCTCAAACAAAAATTTGTTTAATTTTCAGGTTATATAGATTTACATTGAGTTTCTTTACTTGTCCTTTTCACGTTTTATTATATCATGAATCTGAAATAACTTTTTTTCAGCCCATCAACAATTGCTGAGGGACTGATAACAATAATTGAAGACGATACTCTAAATGGAGAAGTAATGAAGATTACAGCATCCCAAGGGATTCATTTTCAGCAATACGGCCAAACACCTTTTACATCATCAAAGAGATAAAGAATTGTTTTGTGCTAATTCCTCCTGGCTTATCTTAAATATAAAAAGTTTTGAAAAGAGTAATTTTGGGGAAAAGGGTTAATGTTTTATCTAGAGCAGTGACAGTGTTCAAACGTTTGCATCCTAATAACAAAGAAATGGGCAAGAAAATCTGGTGTGGGAAGATGTTACCACCCTATTCTGATTATAAAAACACTAAGAAGATTATTTATTTAGTATAATAAACACACTGCTCTGAAGACGTTTTTTGTTGTTTAGTAAGAGGGGTCACTTTTTTCATTCTGGTAGTTCTGATCTACAGACTCCAAGTGTATTTTGGTGGACCTGACTTACTTTCTTAAAATTCTTTTCACTGTTGTGCCTACTTACATCTTCAATTCTTCAGACCAGGAATTCAATTCAGGAATCTAGTCCATAAGCTCTGTAAGGAGTTAAGAATTCACTTTTTCTTATGAAAATTAAATAGAATGAGAGGCAAAATTCAAATTCCTTATATATATATACATATATATAAGTATGTTCAAAATTCAAATTCCTGGTGTATATATGCACATATATATTAGTATGTTCCATATCATATAAGAAAGTACAGATTTTTATCATCTTACATTTTAGGTATTTATAAAATAATCCAGAAATATTTTGTTTTCTTTTATATATATATATGTGAATTTTCTCTCTCTGTATATATATATATTTGGCATTGTTTGAAATGTCTGCTTATTCATTAGATCTTATTTTCCAAATCTTTAAATCTAATTTCTTCCCTGATTGATTAAAATATTAATTCAATCCTGAATAATCTGGGTCTTTTTCATGTTTTATACATGTCTATTTTGGTTTCACAATACATATTCTGAGATGCAGCATGTCATAGAGTGGCAATGAAAATAAAAATTGAGCTTCCTACCTCCTGAGCACTACTGGACCTCCTGAATCCAGGTCAATCCCCAGCTACATTTATCCAACAAACCTAGGTACTCTATGGGTTACATGCCTGACAAAAATAATTTTTTACATGGTCATTTAATTAGGTGATGACCTAAAAAGATTTAATAGCTCCTGAGAAAGCTAGGAAAAGTTAAAATTTACCTCTCTTAGGAGTACAGACTTTAGTTTCACAGATCTTTTTTTCAGCATTGTATCTGAAAGAGTGGAAATCTAGCACTTACCTTCTGTGAAGTTGGGGGGGAGAAGAAAAGAAACAGACACTCATACTTTGAATTACTCATTCTCCCATTTTTTTGGCTATGTTAGCACTATTTTTAAAGCCCATTTTGATTGCACACATGATGCTAGCCACATCTTTAACATTCCTGGCAGCATCTGCATATCCATCTGGAAAATACTATCTGATTTGATAGTATTAATTTCTACTTTTGTCTCAATAAAATGAGAGCATTTCTAATACAGGGCAGACTAGCGTAAAAGATGTGATGTAAACTTGAACTCAGCATGTGTTAGTTAGGTCCTAATGCTGATAATTATCTACCTCTGTATGTCTCCTTGTTAAGCAGTATTTCGAGATAGTTTATAAACAAGTGAAGGCTTAATAATAATGATACTAAATGCAAAACATGTAATGAGCAAACACCAGGCTAGGAGAGTAACTCAGCAGCTTCTCTTAGTAACACATCTCAAATAATGATGGGAATACTGTTGATGATATATTGCTGTCTTGACTGCTTTTGTTCATCTCTGCTCCTTGCTGCCCCAAAAGAAATATCTGTTAAATAGGGTGGGTTGACTTTCCCAAGGGATCCGTGAAAGCACACGTAATTTAAGAATGTTAATAATAAGAGGCTGGAAGTCCAATGTGTGCTCCCTAGGAGAATCAAAACCAGAAAGAAATGTAAAGTTAATTAGAGCTAATCACTTTAGACATTGCACAATTAACTTGTGATAATGCACTTGTAGAAAATTCTAATTCTATGAATCATCAGTATTCTAAGAGTGGATTCCATTTGTGTGGTATATCAATAGTCACACAGGAAAATATTAGATTCATAAAATATACAATTTGACTCCAGGACACCTGGAAAATCTAAGCCTGTATCTGGGAAACAATTTAAGTCACAACTTTTTTGTATGTATGGGTCTTTTCTTCTGGTCTAATTTTGTAACTCAAAAGACAGATGTTTTCAAATCAAAGCCATACAGAAAACTTCATGAAAGGCACATACTGCACTGATTTCCATCTGATAATCTGATAAGGAAGTCTCAGAATGCAATACATGCTTATTTGATCAAATAAACATTTAAACTAAAATAAATCTCAAATTTTTAGCACATCTGGAACTCACTGAAAGAAACACATACAATGAAGAAAACCCTTGGTGCAAATTATAATGCGGAAAACTAGCCATCAAATTTCTACCTTTTAATTAAAAAGTGCCCCAAACCAAATATTACAGCTTTCCAGTTTGTCTGCATTTAAACACATCTGAGGGTTTTATCTGCACAGGAAGAACAAGTCCTACATATGTTTTGGAAGGGTTTCCTGTAAGACTTCCCCCCAACCTTTGGAAGTCTTCCAGTAAGAAAGAAAAAGAGCATATGTTTGATTTATGGAGAGAAACACCCAGAGCAGCAGTACGAAGAAAGTTGAGTTAAAGGGAGAAAGTGAGTTTCATTTTTGCACAAAAATTGTTTTTAAACTTCATCTTAAGTTAAAAGTCTTGACATAATTCCAAGACTTAATTTATTTTGCCTAGGAGACCATAATTTTTAGAACAACTGTTCCAGTTTTGTAGGGAAAACACAGCCAAAAGGAAAAATAAATATTTTAAATGAGATACAATAATTGCCAAGAACATAAAATAACAAGTAATATTCTAGACTCAAATAATGACCATTATTTGGAATGAATACTCAATCCCATGTGACAGGAGTTTACTTTTCAGTGGGTCCTTACAGTTTCAACTAAGATTTTTTTAAGGGTAAAGGATAAATATGACAAGTGAACTCCATCTTTTCAGTGCTTATGATCCTACACAGAAGTCCAAATCATAAGGCATTTCAAATGCTTTGTTACATGACTGTTTTACTTTGTTTGTTTAATACCTTGATTCAAGGCATTTAGAAGGTAAATAACTACAATCATCAACATAATTATCTGGATAATAAATTACATTATGTAGACTTCAGAAGGACATGGAACTAATTTGTATTATGAGTATCATAAAATCATATGGGTATTAATTTTATTATTGAGGGGGTGAGCCACGCAGTAACAAGTCCTTCTTGTAGTTTCTTTAAATTAAGGAAGTCCTGATATGAGAGACTAGACCCTTTCCTCTTCTTTGGGACATAAGCTTTGCAAACAGTAAACAAAAAGTAAACTTTAATAAACCCAAAATCTGATTTACTCTGAAATCTTGAATATGAGACTAATCTTTAAAGGAACAGCATTAGATGCTTAATGCTATGGCTTTTGGGCAGGATGGGACTCTTCTGACAGATAATGATTTCCTTCCTCCAGTGTTGAACTGCTCTAAACTTTCTACACGATGATGCTCCAGCTTGAACTTCCCTTTTAGCTAAGTCTATTGGCTTTGCATCAGGAGACGTTGACAGTTTTCAGCTCCAGAATGCAGTTCAATCCAGATGGTTCAATGAAAGTGAAGGACAGTACCATATGACTTGGATTTTTTTTTTTCCCCTCCAGTACAGAAAGGAATAGGTTAATGTCAGGTCAAATTTTAAATTCTAGCTGAGAGAGACAGTAAAAAATAACAGCGTGTTCTTACTCTGAAGGGGACAGTAAACAGGAAGAGAACATGTCAGGTAAAAATATATAAGATGAAAAGAGGCTAAACCTGAAACATATTTAAAATAAGTAACTTAACCCCATTCTTTGAGTGGAAAAACACTACTATGAACTGTGGCCCAAATTTAAGCCTGAATGTTTTTTGACTTGTATAGAGACAGTCTAACATGGTATTCTCAGGGACTCAGAGGATAAAATCAGGTTCTTCACAATAAAAATTAACCTTAATGAAAAAAAATCAATTTATTTCAAGCAATCATTCAGCAGTGATGCATTTGCAACAGTTATATATACAGCTTCTTTTATTTTTCACAAGCTCTGTGCTAACTCACTGCTGGCACTTGCTGGGCAAATCTTACAGAGCTTATTACTACTGCAGAGGTGGAATTCATTTCTTGCTACAAGAGTTGTGCTTTTTCAACTTTCACTTTCATCAGAGGGTTCCTAACCCTCCTGCTTTCACAAGGAAAAGAAGCTACACAGGACTTGATGATCATCTGGTGACAGATCCGACATCTGGTCCAAGAATTCTGGATGGTTGAAGGCTCTAGATCTAGCGTCATGAAGCAGAGATTTATTGTAATGACATCCAAGAAGAATGCAAAAGACCTTCCTATTCCCTTATCTTCCACCCTGGCCACTCCTCTGCATCTTTCCCGTGGACTACCTTAAACACAAACATTTCAGCAGTGAACTACACTCCAGCTACACCAAAACACAGCTGTGCCTCTTCATCAGTCACTGAGGACACATTCACATAAGACATCACTGATTTCAGACAAACCGTAAGGCCAGTTTATTAGTTCCCATGATGCTCCATGCCGCAGAAATGGCTCAAGGTGTCTCAGTAGCATTTCTGTCTCGGCAATGAGACCTTTCCTCAGCAGCCACAATCTTGAGAAAGTCAAGAAAAAAGAATAGGAAATCAGGCTCCCAGTTACACAGCTTTGAACTCTTTACTATAGGACAAGAGAAAAAGCACACTTCTGCTTGCTTTCAGAAAAAAAAAAAAAAAAAGAAAACATAAAGACAACTTTCAGTGCACTTTCTCACAGCTGCAAACAAAACCCAAAGAAGAAAAGAGGAAATACAGATATTTCTGGAACACAGGAATGTGAAACTTCTCAGAAAAAATAGTTTTATTTTAGCTCATCTAGCCATTTCTATTTACATAAATGACTAACACTTCAGAATTTTGTACAGCATTTGACCTTGAAGACTTCTTTCTGCAATTAACACTACAAGCAGTTAACTTCAAATACACATGAACAGTGCAGTTCTCAAGAAAGACCTAGAGATGGGCAGAGAATACTGAATCCTCTGCTACTTATTCTGGAACAGTTCTTACAAAAATGAATAAGCTTCCTTATACAAAATCCTTCTGGCAATTTCACTTCAAAAAGATATAGTGTTCTTTTATGGAGCTTTTATCTTTCTGTGCATTTGTAAATACACTACCCTCAGCAATGC